TCACCGCATACGTAGTTCATTGATACAAAGACCATCTAGAAAATATTTAAGGCGGTGAGAGAATAAGAAGTATAATCTCCAGTTATAAACATTTCAGATAATTTCATAACTGCTGATAAACCAAAGTACAACAAACATTCAATTCTTCAAATTTAAACAATTATTGATTGTGTTTATCACAGATTTCTATCAATGTTTGCACTCCATTCGGAAATTGTTTACAGATTTTGAAAAAGCTGGTGTTTACCATTTTTGAAATCAACACAGATAAGAACAGTAAATAATAATTAATTTAATCAAGAATTAGAGATTTTGCTGTTAACAAAAGCTATAAACGAACACCATAGTGTGCATTGACCCACTGTCCTTCTAATTGAAACTTCAGTTAGAAGTAATAATTTTAGGAAAATCCAGTAAAGAAAGGTCAAAAGTCAGGAGCGCCGACTATATGATACCCAACTTCACTCACATACCAACTATGAGCCATATTTGAATGTGTATCATGAATTTAGAGCAGTTATAAATAGGCTTCCTAGGGATCTAACATATGGGAGATATATCCAACTCCTAATCGATTTTCAACAAATTTAAGGGAAGCATTTGTACCTCTCGTACCAAATAAAATTGCTATAGAGAGCACAATATGATTTCGTTAAGGATAATAAAACCCGAACCATGTTTCATCAAATGGAAAAGATTAGTTGAATCTGAAAAAATCTATAAAATGTAGGTTAATATTACATATCGTACGGTGAACCATAACCGTAAAATCGTATAAAGAAATATATGGAAGCTATATCCAAATCTGAACCGATCTCAATATGTACCTAAAAAAAATTGTTAATAATAACAATAATTTTCTTGATGTTTGAAATTATTTCACAAAGAAAAGATGTAAACAAAAAGAAAGTTATGTTTGGCGTATTTAAAAATTTGGCGATTAAAATGTCAAATTTCCGAAATATTATGAAATATAATATTTATTATGACTACCGTAAAATGAGTCAAGAAACCCATCAAAATAATAATATGCTCGATATTATTATTACGAAAAAAGCCATTGGAAAATCTCACTAAACATTTGACCATTTTATAGAGATGATTGTCCAGAATCATGAAAACATATCTAAAGTTACCCTTATGTAGGGGCTATATGCAATCGTAGGTCTATTTACACATTTTTTGTCTGTGTCATTAGTACCTATTAAAAACTTCACACATCGGATTCCATAAAAATGCATTGAAAAAAGCGGCTGAATTGATCAAAATAACGTGAATAACAGTTGTCTTCCAGAGGTTAAAGTACCTACGAACAATTTTATCTCAGACAATTCCATTGCCAAATGCGGCAACAATCATCAAAACAACGAATATCGGGAGGTAGCGTTAAATGGCGACTATACTATATCGTGGACCGATCTGAATGCAGACAAATGACTGATATGTACAAAATTTTAGCTTCCTATCTTAATTCGTTTTGATTCCAGCTTAAAAACAACGAACGGAAAGAGCTAACTCTTCTGATCAAGAACATACAGGGTGAGATAAAAAAGTCAAACTCCATAATTTGTTCATTTTTATACCCTACACCACATAGTGGTAAGGGTATTATGTCTTTGTGCATTTGTTTGTAACATGGAGAAGGAAACGAGATAGACCCATAGTTACTTTTGAGAAACTTCATAGAATCACTTTCTGAGTCGATTTATGCATGTCAGTCCGTCTGTCCGTCCGTCCGTCTGTCCATGTATTCTTGTGAACAAAATGCAGGTCGCATTTATTATCCGATTGAGATGAAATTTTCCAAACAATATTTTTTTGGCCCAAGGACGAACCCTATTGAAATTGGTGAGAATCGGATCAAATTTAGATATAGCTCCCATATATATCTTCAACCGATTTCGGGTTAAATGTGCACCAAATGTTCACTATCAGTCCAAATTACCTGAATTTTGGCACACCCAACCGAGTTCGGCCTAGAAGCAAGTATGTCAAATTTGGAGAAAATCGGTTCAGATATAGCTATAGCTCCCATATATATCTTTCATCCGATTTGATCTTTAAGTCCCTCACATTCCTACTATGCACTCCACAACCGTCATATTTGGTACCAGGTATTAGATGGAGCACAGAAATAACTGTTTTAAATTTTATCGAAATCGGTTCAGATTTGGATATAGCTCCCATATATATCTTCATCCGATTTCGGGTGATTTACCACCAAATGGCCGTAATAGCATCAATTTTGGTAAATCCGACCGAAACCAGCTTAGAAGCAAGTACACCAATTTTAGTAAAAATCGGTTCAGATATAGCTATAGCTCCCATATATATATTTCATCCGATTTGGTCTTTAAGTCCCTCACATTCATAATATACACTCCACAACCGTGATATTTGGCACCAGGTATTAGACGGAGCACAGGAATAGTTGATTTTAATTTTATTAAAATCTGTTCCGATTTGGATATGCTCCTATATATATCTTCATCCGATTTCGTGTTAATTGTGCATCAAATGGCCAATATCAGCCCAAATCACCTGAATTTTCGTACATAAGACCGAATTCAGTCTAGAAGCTAATACGTCATATTTGGAGAAACCCGGTTCAGAGATAGCTATATTTCATAAAACGCACGATAGAATTAGATAGATTTTGATTTTGTACCAAATATCTCATAGAGCTCTGAAATGCCCTGTATAAACCTTTTTACGAGAGCTGTACTAAATATGCATAGTGGTGTAGGGTATCATATAGTCGGCCCCGCCCGACTTTTGAGCTTTCCTTACTGGTCTTTTTTAATTGTATTGAATGAAAGCGAAAAATGTCGGAAATAGCATCAAATTTTAGAATGTGTTTTGATTTGGTCACCTTTGGCACGAATTATGGCCTCTAAACTGCCAATGAAACCGTCACACGCTGCCCGAATGTTGCTGTATTTTGGCTCATTCCCGTCGAATCGTTTGCTTGAGGTGATCGATTGCTTTGGTATTTTTTAGTGCCAAACCTTATTTCCTAAATACTCCAGACACAAGAGTCCAGTGAATTGGTATCCGGAGATTTTGGTGACTATTGTGCGCTGGAAATAAAGTGAGGAAACTCATTTTGTAACCATTCTTGGGTGGCGCGTGCTGAGTGCGATGGTGCAGAGTCCTGTAGGAATATCCAAGGTCTGCGGCCAAAATGTTTGAGTGCCCAAGGTTTTAATACACTCTCCGCAATATCTTGGCGATAATATTCGGCATTTGTTCTGATGCCACGGTCGATTAATTCGAGCGGAGAGCAACCATCGGTTATGGCGGCCAACACCATCACCATGGCCGGCGCTTGATTTCTGGTGGCCAACTGAAGATGCACATTTTCAGCTGACCTCTTTGGCAAGTAAACACGATCATTATGTTTGTTTACGAACTGCTGGACAACGAATGTTTTCTCATCGGGGAAAACCAAATTCTGCAGTTCGCCAATTTCGGTCAAGCGAAGCAATTCTTTAGCTCTTTTGAGTCTATTTTCTTTCTGTTCTGAACTTTTTGGAATAACAATGGGTTTTCCCCGAGCTCATTTTTCAATATTTTTCGAATGGAATATTGCGATATTTTCAGCTCACGAGCCGTCTCTTGGCCACTGCGACGCGGGTTTCGACCAAGTCGATTCTTTACTTTTCGAACCATTTCTGCTGATGTAGCTGTGCTGTTTTCTTCCGTCCACTTCCTCGACGTCGTACGCTACCAGTGTCACGGTAACGAGCGATGGTACGAGACACAAAAGATTAATTCACATTTAAATGCTGGAGTGCTCTAACGATAACTACTTGTGGTTTTCCAGTCAATTATAAAGAAATCAGAATATCGCGCTTGAATTCCATCAAAAATATTTTTTTTTGGAAAATTCTCACCAAAAATGCTTTGGTACGCTTGTAAACAAAATAATGAGCTGTCACCGGAATAATTTTAACAGCTGTCAGACGAGGGCCATAAAAATGACAGCAGTTTGAAGTTGGTTGCACTTTTTTCATCTTACCCTTTATATACAATAACCTGCCAAAGAAAGTAGAACTCATAACGAATTCTAAATACCGAACTTGAAACAATATTACTAGGAAATGTGGCTTAAATCGACAAATCAATATTCGATGATTTGTCGATTTAAGCCACATTTCCTAGTAATATTGTTTCAAGTTCGGTATTTAGAATTCGTTATGAGTTCTACTTTCTTTGGCAGGTTATTGTATATATGGGGGCTATATGAAAACGTAGACCTAGGTGTGCAATTTTTGCTACTGAATTAAGTATTTGTTTTTAAGGTCCAAGTAACTATTTTGAGACAATTCTACTGGAAAATGTTGCTAAAATCATCAGAATACCGAAAATCGTGAGGTACAGTTATATGGGCCCTACATCAAAATGTGGACCTATATAGACAAAGTTCTGTCACAGGATATAAAACCCATTACGAACTCCAAATACCGAAATTTGAAAAAATTCCATTAGAAAACGTGACTAAAATCGAAGAAATAACGAATATCGGGAGGTACCGTTATATGGGGTATATACAAAAACGTGTTCCTAGTGTTCCAGTCTTTGGTCCTCGATATTGTGAGCTAACAATAAGTATTTGTACCAAAATTCATCCACCCCTGCCAACTCCTTCTATTTTTGGCCACCGTTAATATGAACTCGCAACATAGTGTGACTTAGCCTATCCAATAATCGGCACCGCCCACCCTGACCTTTACCTAGTTGTTTTCAATCAAATGATTTATTCATAATTTGTCAAATTGTGATAACTGAAGTGCTCGCAATCACAAACATATTCCCCCAATCGTATGATGATAGAATGGCAGAATAATACACTTTATACAGCCGTTATCAATGGAATACAATTTTTAACATTTGTCGACAATTAAAGCAAGCTTATCACGCCTTATCAGCCGTACTTCTGCTGTTGCGGCTGATATTGTGTTGTTATGGTGTACGCCATTTAAACAGCTGACATGCAATCGACAACTAACCGATAATTCCAACATTTAATCCAACTTGCTGGGCATTACTAGGGTATTTCAGCGGCAGCAGTGGTGCTGGTGTTGCTGCCCCCTTCGCACACACGATAATTGAGTGTATCAGTTTTATTCGGAAATCTCTCACGCCTCAACATGCTCTGGCGACAATTCAAAGCAAATTTCAATTATACAAATCGCAGTGCCTCAACAAAATTGCTTTTGTCTGGCAATTGTTTCGCAAATACCCTAAACCGTTTATTGGGAACACAGCTGATAAACGATGGCCGGGTGCTGGTCGTGGAGGAAGACACAAAAAAGAGCAATTCGCAGGAGCGTTCCATGAAATTTCCCATTGTATGGCTGCGAGACAATTGCCAGTGCAGCGAGTGCTTTCATGGCACGACCAAGAGCCGTAAAACCAATTGGGAGCCTTGCAACAACATTGCAGCTCGTGCAGCCCGAGTCGTTGCCAATGCCGAAAAGAATGCAATAATCATAGATTGGCAAGATGCCCATAAATCCGAATACGATTTGCAGTGGCTGCGAAAACGCGACTTTTCTCCGGAACAGCGAAAAGCGTACATCGAGAGTGTCTATAAGCCAAAGGAAGTCGTTTGGGGCAAACAGGAATTTGCCGATGTATTGAAAATTTACGATTTTCAAAAGATTATTGGCGATGATACAGGTAAGGTCAAGCCGGGGCAAAAAAAAAAAAACTTGGTTACAGTTGAGGATAACGTTGTGTGAGTGTGTGTGTTGTCTGTTCCGTTTATATTCGGAAACACAAAAACAATACTGATCATCGCTTCAGTTTTTATATTTTGAATTTGTGCAAGTTGTGCATGCGAGAATACATTCGGCGTGGGAGTAATCTTCTTAATCCATGTTTATGGCAATACCAACAACAAAAACGGACAATAAAACTTCGTGGTGAAATGCAATTAACTACATAATCGTATAGCAACACATTGTGTATAGCTAACAAATATTTTGCAATATCTTCTTTTGCAAACTAATGGAACATGTGAAGAAAATGCAATGATAGGGAGTAGTTTAAAATATGTTATACCAATATTCATGGACCTTAATTACCTAGGAAAATTTTAGTTGTGTAACGAAACCTGTCGAAGATCATTGCACTACAATCCGGCAAATATTTTCTTTCTGATAGCATAGTGAGAGTTGAGCAAAACAAATCAATAAAGAATGACCCAAATTAGGGCGGGACCGACTTTATGAGATCTACCCATATTTAGTAGAGCTACCCATATTTAGTAGAGCTACTCATTCCAAATAAACGTTTTAATGGGGAATATTTATCGTTTTAAATGTATATTATGGACATAAAGCCGAAAGAAACATATATTTGGAAGTATATCCCCTCTTACTAAATATGACGGAATGAACCGATATTCATCAAAACCAATCCTATTTAAGCTGATATTAAATTTTTTGTGCACAATAAACATAAAATTGGATGAAGATACATATGGAATCTATATCCAAATCTGAACCGATTCATACACTTAAGCAGAGGTACCTCTATTCTGTATCTGATAGCTGGGACCAAATATCGTAGTTGTAGGAGCACTTTACGGATGTGCGGGACTTAAATACAAAATAGAATGAAACATGTATATGGGACCTATAGCTATGTACTAACCGATGTTCACCAAAATTGGTACAATTTCTTCCAGGATGAGTTCATTTGTATGTACTAAAATCTATACAATTAGGGCATATATTAACCGTTTATTGCACAAAAAATACTTGAAATTGAGTAAATGCAAAGGCATTTCTGAGCTGTATTTGGTATATTTCGCCCAATATCGTTGTTTCGGGGTGCATATTAAGGCTGTAGAAGACAAAAATAACAAATCAGATAAACAATATATATCGAAGCTATAGCTATACAGGGTGAGATGAAACCAGTAAGGAAAGCTCAAAAGTCGGGCGGGGCCGACTATATGATACCCTACACCACTATGCATATTTAGTAGAGCTCTCGTAAAAAGGTTTATACAGGGCATTTCAGAGCTCTATGAGATATTTGGTACAAAATCAAAATCTATCTAATTCTATCGTGCATTTTACGAACTATAGCTATCTCTGAACCGGGTTTCTCCAAATTTTACGTATTAGCTTCTAGACTGGTGATTTGGGCTGATATTGACCATTTAGTGCACATTTAACCCGAAATCGGATGAAGATATATATGAGAGCTATATCCAAATCTGAACCGATTTCGATAAAATTTAAAACAGCTATTCCTGTGCTCCATCTAATACCTGGTACCAAATATCACGGTTGTGGAGTGAATATTACGAATGTATGGGACTAAAACTTTAAATCGGATGAAACATATATATGGTTGCTATATCTATATCTGAACCGATTTTCACTAAATTTGATATACTTGATATAAGTCCAAATGGACTGAATTTTAGTACATCGACCAAATACAGCCTAGAAGTATTTGGTCGATGTACTAAAATTCAGTCCATTTGGACTTATATCGGCCATTTGGTGCACAATTAACCCGAAATCGGATGAAGATATATATGGGAGCTATATCCAAATCTGAACCGATTTCGATAAAATTACAAACAGCTATTTCTGGGCTGTATCTTATATCTGGTACCAAATATCATTCTTGTGGAGTGCATATTACGAATGTGAGAGGCTTAAACACCAAATCGGATGAAAGATATATATGGGAGCTATAGCTATATCTGAACCGATTTTCTCCAAATTTGATATACTTGCTTCTAGGCCGAACTCGGTTGGGTGTGCCAAAATTCAGGTAATTTGGACTGATAGTGGACATTTGGTGTACATTTAACCCGAAATCGGATGAAGATATATATGGGAGCTATAGCTGTTTCTGAACCGATTTTCTCCAAATCTGTTGTATTTGCTTTAGGGCTAATCTCGGTCACATGTGCCAAAATTCAGTCTATTTGGACTTATATCGGCCATTTGGTGCACAATTAACCCGAAATCGGATGAAGATATATATGGGAGCTATATCCAAATCTGAACCGATTTCGATAAAATTTAAAACAGCTATTTCTGTGCTCCATCTAATACCTGGTACCAAATATCATGGTTGTGGAGTGCATAGTAGGAATGTGGGGGACTTAAAGATCAAATCGGTTGAAAGATATATATGGCAGCCAAATTTGATATACTTGCTTCTAGGACGAACTCGGTTGGGTGTGCCAAAATTCAGGTAATTTGGACTGATAGTGGACATTTGGTGCACATTTAACCCGAAATCGGATGAAGATATATATGGGAGCTATATCTAAATTTGATCCGATTCTCACCAATTTCAATAGGGTCGTCCTTGGGTCAAAAAAATATTGTTTGGAAAATTTCATCTCAATCGGATAATAAATGCGACCTGCATTTTGTTCACAAGAATACATGGACAGACGGACGGACGGACGGACGGACGGACGGACGTACGGACAGACGGACTGACATGCATAAATCGACTCAGAAAGTGATTCTATGAGGGTTCTCAAAAGTAACTATGGGTCTATCTCGTTTCCTTCTCCATGTTACAAACAAATGCACAAAGACATAATACACTTACCACTATGTGGTGTAGGGTATAAAAACTATGGTTTTCTCCGATGAGAAAACATTCGTTGACCAGCAGTTTGTAAACAAACAAAATTATCGTGTTTACTTGACAAAGAGGTCAGCGCAGGCCATGGTGATGGTGTGGGCCGCCGTAACTGGCGATCAAGGTTCCTCGCTACATTTCCAGCGCACAATAGCCACCAAAATCTCTGGATACCAATCCGTTTGACTATTGTGTCTGGAATATTTTGGAAAGCAAGGTTGGTACGAAAAAATACCGAAGTGTCGATCACCTCAAGCAAGCGCTTAGCCGGGAATGGGACAAAATACCGCAGAGCAACATTCGAGCAGCGTGTGACCGTTTCATTGGCCGTATGAAGGCCAAATTTCTTGCCAAAGGTGACCAATTCGAACAAACCTAAACTTCTTCTAAAATTTGATGCTATTTCCGACATTTTTACTTTAAATTAATAAAATTTAAAAATTATGGTTTTTGTCTTTCTTGCAGTTTTTTTGATCTCACCCTGTATAACTCAAAATAGTGAGTACCTTTGTGTAAGGTTAAAGGAGTTTAGGTCTGGAACCCAAAACCTTGTTGGGGTTCTCAGTACAATGTTTTTTAGGGTTCTCAATCTTGTTTTTATTTTCGCACCACAGATTGCTCGTTGTCCAGTGAATGAAATGAATTTCTACCGCTTTCTAAACTCTTTCCTATTGTAATCGGTCGTTAGCTGTAAACTGTAGATCGGCCTTAAAGAAAAAGATTAGTTGGACATTCACGTTTGAACTTCGTAAAAATGCACGTTTGAATACCTTAGTTTTATTTTAATCGCTTTTGAATGTGTTGGGGGTATTATAAGTTCGATTGGGCCAAAAATTATGTAACACCTCGAAATATTGGTTGTACATATGGATCTTTCTATCTCGCCGAGCTGAGTCGATCTAGCTATGTATGTCCGTCTGTCCATGTTAATTTGTAATCACTGTACAGGTCGTAATTATGGCTCGATCTTCACGAAATTTAAAATGGGGATATGGTCAGAATAGAACCCTATTTTTTTGGAGATGATCGCATAATATTTAGGGGTTGAAATGGACCAAAAACTGAAGAAAATCCTGATTTTGCAGTTGCTCTACAGGGCACACTTTTGGACCAATCGACGAGGAAGTTAGCATGGGACTAGATCTTCAGGCTTGGCAGAAGCCTTCCAATTTTGGTGGTCATCGGGTAATATTTCGTGGGTGAAATAGACTATAACATTTCTGTTAAATAAACTTCAAATTTTCTATTAAACGGCGAATATTTTTAACCCCGACGAAATCACAAATAGACGACCAGGTCAATCTGACCGTTACGTAGATGCCGATGGTAAATATATCGGATATATATAGCGATATATATATAAAATACATATATACAAAGGAAGGGGATGTTAGCTAGAACGCTTATATCTCAAGAATGGCTGGACCGATTTTGACAAATTTTGTCAATTCAGGAGGCCCTCTTTGCATGAAAGAATAAAATCTAAAAAAAACAGCATTAAAATTTGCTAATAATGGTGTTTTTATAGATTTTGTAGTATTTATTGACAATTTTTTATTTTTTATAAATTTTATCGCATGCGATTTTTTCATTTTGACTTATAATATTGAATTGTATATTTTGTAATATTTTTTCACCTTATAACACAGGTTTTGGTTATTATATACAATCTGCAATTATCGTCTGATCCTCAACATCCAAAGATGTCCGCAATATGTTTAGGGGTTTAATTGGACCAAAAATAGAAAAAATTTCCTGATCACACAATTGAAGCCAATCGACACGCCTGAGAAGAGAGTTATGGACGGGGAATATTCTAGAATTTTGGTTGACCATTGGATTACATTTAGCTTTAAAATGGTCCACAACAAATAAGAGCACAACGGCTAATGTCTCTGTTCAAAATGCTGAGGGTAATATCTGGGCAGTGCTCCGTGACATAATTTAAAAAGCGAAACATTCCAAAATGGATTTGGACATAGGGGGCTTCTAACATTGTAGTGTTGTAGGGTATCACATGGTCGCCCCGCACGACTATAGCCTTTGCTTACTTGTTTTGTTTTAAGGTCATGAACACTTTTTAGAGATTTTTCAAGTTTATATTCTGAGGCTTTGCAACGGTTTATATTTCATGACCTTCTATACTTTTTGCATATTCACTTTTTTAAAAAATATGTTTTAAATATGAATGTAAAGCTTTTTAGAAGGTCTTCCTGAGAACTTCAAACATGCTTGTGTTTGTGGTCTGCTGATACAGATCAATTATTCTAATTCTAATATGGACCAGGAATCAGAATTGCAACTGCACTCAATAATCGTTTTGTATAATATTTTCTTTAATTATTCTTTTCGCTTATTCCCATCACAATAAATATTATCACATTTTAATAGACAATTATTTATTGCATTAAGCATTGTCAAAAATATTAAATTTTTAACATTTTAGAGCTGTATAACTGGATTCGTTCCCTGGCCATTTACGGTGTCAATATTGTAAAAAATGCTCCGCATGATACAACGGTTGCTCAACAGCTGGGAAATCGCATTGGAATAATAAAGAAAACTGCATATGGGTAAACAGCCTTTGTAACTAATATAAATCTTTACGACAAATGTTTAATTCGAATATTTGCAGTGAACAATTTGAGATAAAATCTAAGGAAAATCCTAGCAACTATGCCTATCTTATGGTACCACTGCCGCTGCACATTGATGTACCCTATTATGAAAATATAGCCGGTATTCATATTTTACATTGTCTAGTTCAGTCGGCGAAGGGTGGAGAAAATACATTAACAGATGGTTTTTATGTTGCCGATCAAATCCGACAACATTATCCGAAATACTATGAGTCATTGCTTAAAACACCGGTCGACTGGCATGATATTGGTAAAGATGGAGATATAGAATATCATAATATTTGGAGAGAACCAGTCATAAAGTGAGTAACACTCTTTTGATGTCAAAATTTAAATATTATTATTAATTTTTAAATTTATTTTTCAGTTTGGATGTTGATGGCCGTTATCATCGCATCAATTTCAATACCATCAAAAGAGATAGCCACTTCAGTGTGCCACTGGAAGCGGTCGATTTGTGGTATGAGGCCTACAATAAATTTATAGAAATTGCCAATGAAACTGCGGTGCAATTCAAAACACATCCCGGCGATGTATTTGTGTTCAACAATCGACGAATGCTGCACGGACGTACGGCCTTTGAGGACACTCCGGATAACAAACGTCATCTGATTGGAGCTTATGTTGATTGGGATTATATTTATTCGAAAATGAGGGTATTACAAACCAAATTGGGCATTACTCATGAGTAATTTTTTATTTATGTCATGAAGATTGTAAATAATGTAAATTGCACTCACAGACATATCTGGAGTATAAATCCTGTTTTATTAAATTATATATTTTTGGAAATTCCAACAAAGGGGGTACTGGTACTAAATACAAACGGGTAAGACTGGAATTCCGAAAATTCGGAAATTGGGAGAAAAATGGATGAATGTTATAGTGTAGTAGTAAATTCGACCCCACATAATGTCGTGCCTGTATATTCAGCGACTAGCGGCAGAGGTACAATCGCGAAACACGAAAAATACTAAATAGTACTATATTTGGTACAATTTGGTATTGAGTGAACAGATAGTGCTTGAAATCTCAAATTTGATATTAGGGTCGCTGTTTATGTGTAGCCTGGACATATGACGGTGGTTTCGGAAATGTGCACTATATGTGCACTGGGTGAAGGAATACGGCTTGTATCTTCAAATGTGATATTGAGTTCTTTGTTATTATCTGCAATTTAGACATTAAGGTGGATTTGGAAATGTGTGCTGTAATTGTACGAAATGTAGTAAGTGGTACAATATTTCGTATTGGGTGAAAGAATAGATTTGATGGATGTCACTGTTGCTGACTGGATACGCGTACTATAATTGGCCTAAATTTGCCAATGGAGAGAAATTTGCAAAGATGAAATCCTGAAATTTGTTTCTAAGGACACTGTTCGAAAAGTATTAAATAGTTTTAAATCTTTGTATTTTTCGAAAAGTACTAATTTGTACTAAATTGAGTACTGGGTGAAGGGATAGAGTTGAGATTCCGAAATTTGATATTGAGTTTTCTGTTGGTATCTGGTAGTGTTTTGGCAAATCCCTACCAAAATTGTTCAAAAATACTAAATGCTACTAATTTTGATTCGTTTTTGGAGTCTAGGATGGAGAGATATAAAATGTTTTGGATATACAGTTCCTAAATTTGGCATTGGGTGAAGTGAATGAAATTCTGAAATTTCTAAGGTTGGTTGAATTCTTGGGTTTATGTTTGGAGATGTTGAAATAGTTTAGCAATGTACGTCCGTCCTTCGTTTGTCCATGTTATTTATAATCACGCTAGAAGTCGCAATTATGGCCCGATCCTCACGAAATTTTGCATGGAGATGAGGTTATGGTCAGAATAAAACCCTATTGCTTTTGGAGATGATCAAATAATATTTAGGGGATGAAATGGACTAAAAACGGAAAATGTTTCTGTTTGTAATTGCTCTACAAGTCGATGGAACAATATACGCGGAAGTTAACTGGGGCTATTGCTTAGAGCTGGGTAGGAGTCTAACCCAATTAATAAACGGGTTATATTTAGTGGGTTAAATAGACCATAACATTTGTATTAAATAAAAGTCAAATTTTACATTAAAACGTTTAATTTAATTTAATTCCGGCGAAATTACAAATATACGAAAAGGTCAATTCAGACCGTTACGTAGATGCCAATAGTAAATATATTGGATATATATAGCGAGATACAGGGTTGTCCGTATTCGACGGACCCATCTGGCAACGCCATAACTTTTGCAGGAGATGTCACATCGTTTAATGACATACCGTGTTTGAAGCGTCAGTCCAAGCACATTTTTACCATGAACCATTACACTCCACGCGAAAGAGTTGAAATTTACATTCAACAGAAGAAGTCAATTGTGAAAACTCAACGTGCTTTTAAAACATTAAAAAATGTGAGAAGTGCGCCTTCTAAGAACACCATTAAGCGTTTATACGAAAAATTTTCGACTGGTAAGGCTCTTTCTAATCCGAAGAGGCCATGTAAAAGTCGACCAAGGCGATCGGCCGAGAATATCGCTGCCGTACGAGCCAGTGTTGAGAGGTCCCCAAGAACATCCCAAAAACGCCGTTCTCAGCAGTTGGGCATGGCTCGGTCCACTTTACAACGGATTATTCGCATTGATTTGCATTTGTTCCCGTACAAAATTCAATTGACGCAAAGAATGTTGCCTGCGGACAAGCCTCATCGATTGGAATGGGCCCAAAGAGTCATGGGACCGTCGAATATGGGCAACCCTATATACAATATGTATATACAAAGGAAGGGGATGTTAGTTAGAATGCTTATAACTCAAAAATGGTGGGACCAATTTTGACAAATTTTGTCAATTCAGAATGCCCTCTTGGCATAAAATAATAAAATCTACAGGGTGAGATAAAAAACTGCAACAAAGTCAAACGCCCTCCTTTTTACATTTTTTTTTTTTAAATTTTATTGAATGGAAGCAAAAATGTTGGAAATAGCATCAGATTTTCGAATAAGTTTAGATTTGTTCCAATTGGTCATCTTTGGCACGAATTATGGCCTTCAAACGGCCAAATAAACCGTCCCACGCTGTTCGAAAGTTGCTCTGCGTTATATTGGCCCATTCCCGCTTGCTTGAGGTGATCGACACTTTGGTATTTTTAGTGCCAACCTTGCCTTCCAAAATACTCCAGACACAATAGTCCAACGGATTGGTATCCGGATATTTTGGTGGCCATTGTATATAGGAAATGAAGCGATGAACCTCATTTTGTAACCATTCTTGGGTGGCGCGTGCTGAGTGCGATGGTGCTGAGTGCGATGGTGCTGAGTGCTGTTGGAATGTTCAAGGTCTGCGGGCAAAATGTTTGCGTGCCCAAGGCTTTAATACACCCTCCAGAATATTTTCGCGATAACATTCGTCATTTATTCTGATGGCACGATCGATTAATACGAGCGGAGAGCGACCATCGGCTGTTATGGCGAGTTCTGGTGGCAACTAAACATGATCATTTTGTTTGTTTACTGCTGGACAACGAATGCTTTCTCATCGGAGAAAACCAAATTCCGCAGTTCACCAATTTCGGCCAAGCGAAGCTACTCTTTAGCTCTTTTGAGTCTATTTTCTTTCTGTTGCGGTGCAATTACTTGCACTTTTTTGAATTTCAATTTTCCATATTTCAATTTTTCAATATTTTCCAATGGAATATTGCGATATGTTCAGCTCACGAGTCATTTTTCGGCCACTACGACCCGGGTTTCGATCAAGTCGTTTCTTTATTTTTCGAGCCATTTCTGCTGATGTTGTTGTTCTCTTCTGTCTACTTCCTTGACACCGGGCTACGCTGCCAGTATCAAGATATAAAGAAATATCACTACCATGCTTGAATTCCATCACGAATAACTTTCTTCTAGAAAATTCTCACCAAAATGCTTTTGCACGAAATTTATTTTAAATTTAGGGTTTACAATGGATCAAAAGTTTAAAAAACTAATTTGGTATTTGACATAGTAGGAACATATTTTGGAAAACATTGGATCCAGATCTATGATGATTATTCAAAAAGAGTGGAAATTAAGTTCAGCATTTGCTTTTATTATGTAGTATATATGGGGATGTCGAAAATGGATATGTTGCAGGGTATACAATTTTTGGTCACGTCTGACTAAAGGCTTTGCTTAATTGTTTTTTATTTTTTTTTTCATACAATTCTTTTAGCAAAACCCAAATCAAACATTATGAATTAATCTTTTGACTATCAATCTCTGGATAAAATGTTGAAAGTGGAAAATATTCCCCTTTCAGAAGGTCTTTTAAATATTCCTAAAGACTTTGCTTATAAGCCTTATAAAATCTTTCATAAAATCCAGATAACTGAGCTGAGCACTTTTCTTTTGAAAACGTTTACCTTCAAGCGACTGCTTCTAAATAAATTTTTCTGAAGGCCATCCGGCATACTTAATTGACACCATAAAATTACCCTGTTGTGACAAAACGTCTTCATAGGTCTATTTTTTGGTCATAAGGTCACATTGTGTGACGTGTAAGGAGGCCAAATACGATTATTTGTTAACTAAATAAATGTGCCCAAGTATATTTTTGTTTACATAGAAAAATATCCCAAAAGCAAAGGTACACAAATAATAGGTATTAACATTGTAACAATTTTCTTTGTTTTCACGCTTCCATATACTACTTTTCCCAACGTGGCGCATAGAAATATATTTTTGGGACACACGTACAAGGCAACATTGAACACGTCGGTATTTTTTGGTTTAATTATACTGTTTACATCTCTATTACATATTCTAGAACAATGGGCAAATTTATAGATGAACTGAGTGATTTATGCCAGAAAATATATTTTTGTAGAAAAATAAATGAATTCAGGCCCACCTTTCAGGCCTATCTTTCCCCATTAAGAGATAAGGTTAATAAAACGCGTTTTTTAATGATCGACTTCTTTTGGAGAAACTATAATTAGTACAATAAAAATCTACAAAATTTTCCTTGGGCTATTAGTTTGTCATTTGTGTAAAAAAAGTAAAATTTTAGCAGTCCTAAACTCATAATTTATTTATTTTTTTAATATCATTATTAAATTATCTTCCTACTTTAATTTTTATCTGGCCTATTTCATTTTACAAATGTGTAGGTCAACGTTGTCACGTATTTCGAAAAAAAAAACGAGAATACAAATTGTGATAGCCATTTGCGGGGTGTGTAAGCAACAATAATAATGACCTCCCCTCCACCTCTCCAACACACAACTGAAATGCGAAAGGAAATGTAAAGCTAATAACCATTTACAAAAGATATAAAATGCCACAGAAACAGTCAACAACGTAAAAAAGGACATTGTCCTTCAGTGACACACTCCTTCTTTACATGACACACATTTCTACACGTAATCATTGTGCCATGTGTTGGCCTTTTACAGCGGCTGTTATATTGTTCCTGCTGTGTGGCTCTCTGGCTGGCTGGCTGGTTATTGTTGAGTCTGAAAAACAAATGGTCATAGTTAGGGCCTACCCTAAAGCCTTCTGCCCATGCATTTAGAGACAATGTCCATGCCGTCGTTCACAATGCCACTGTAGTAATGCTAATCTTTAATGTCCTGATAAGACCATAATATTTCTAATGTCCACTACAACTATTTTCACATTCATTTCATTTCGCTTCAGTGGTTCGTCCGTCTATCGCTGGGTTGGGAAAATAGAAATGTTTTTGAAATAGTTTTGTCTTTTTTTTATAAATTTCTATCATTATGAGTTGTCCTGACCACAAGAATTCATTAGGTTTGATGATCATAA